TCTGGCAGAGCAGCAGTATCTTCAGTCTAACACATAATATTATCATGTATACTGTAATCACTAAAATGATAGAGCTCATAATTTACAAATACATTTTCTTAAAACCAGTTGATTTCTATATAGTGTCCTCAGCATGTAAGTAGTCCATGAAAGTGTTGTATAGAGCCAGTGGCCCATGGTGCTGCAGCCGATATGAGGTTAAAAGTGCTTCTGTTGTTATGTGAAGCACAATGGTGTCAAATCAAACAAATGAAGATGATTTCGTGACAGCAGAGACTGGAGAAGCAGGAGGAATTGCTTCCTCACTGACATTAAATACGGCACTAGTGGTAAGTTAGAAAAGCTTTGTGGTGAAGTGTGCAGTCCAAATGAGCACAAAAGGCATTTGTGTAAATGGCAAACTGTGTACATCAAGGTTGAAAAATAAACTTTTATAATATTCATATGTGATGGTATGTTAATTAGCCATAAGCTTTCGCATACTCATGCTTATTAACATAAAGATATACAGTAGGTCTGCTGTTATATGCAAGAGGAGTCTAAGCAGAAGGGCTCTACAAAACAACAATTACACTGACTTTGTGTATGAAGCCGCCATGCAAAACAGTGCTGCACATACCATCATGAGAGATGGAGGCCGTTTAGCCATGCGGCCCTGTTGGAGCCAAGTTCCACCGATAGTTTCTAAAATATGTTGGCAGCACTGAGTAATTAATCAATTACTTTCTGCTGCTCTATTACATACATTTTTTGGAGATGTGGGTGAGTTTTTAGTGAGTATCGGTGGGAGAATTTCAGAACAAAAACTATGAGCAGCATTCCATCAGCCCATTCATTCATTCATGAGGGGGCTCAGCTCACCATATGGACCCTCTGACTGCTCAGCATAATGTGTACCAGGAATGTAAAACAGATATTTGAAAATCCCACTGAAGACGTGTCATTTTAAGTTTTTTTTCATTGAAATAACCACATACAGTAAATGTTGGACTCATGAGTCCTATGTTAAGCAGCGCTGAATAGGAAGAAGACATATTATCAATTTAAAACACATCTGTTAGTTTCAACAGTGATGACTGGGAATAATTTAAACAAGCCATTTCACATTCAAATTGTGAGATGCGCTGTTTGAACTCATCTTTGTTGAAAAACAAAAGCAAATCAAATTGGTGCTGGAATAAAGTAAACTGCTACTGTGTAAAGGTCAAGATAATGTCCGTAGACAAAGCTTTTACATTTCCTAGTTGGACCAGGAGCTTTCTTTGCATAGTAATACACAGTAGAATTCCAATCAGTCTCTGACTTAAGACTCTCAATTGTAATACTTCAGTTACATCTCCATATACAACATCTTAATAATACCGTTTGTTATTTGGCAGTTAATAAGCTCATCTGATTCAAGTAATCTAATATCTTACACAGCAAGCTACTTGTTGAGCTTCTGTGTAATGACATGCAGGTGCATGTAAAACAAGTATGTAAAACAGAGTCCATCCCAAATACTGAGAACCAACATGCTGTACAACTCCGGGGGGGGGGAGTATGACTTTAGATTACCATTACCATGAGAAGCCAGTTTGACCAGACAGCCCTGCTTGTTAAAGGATGTAACACATTAAGTGTCACATTAGTATATATCAAAAAAATGATTGTCATTATTAATTAGAGTCCTAATACTTGAAAGAGGAAGTTAGATGCTTAGATTTTGTCACAACTGTGGAAAACAGGTTCTAAAAATACATCAGATAAGGCTGTCTGTACACTAACAGAAGCTTTCAGTTCTCTCTGTCTGTTTTTTTATTAAATAAATAAAGAACTCATTTGGGAGATTCCTTCATCAGGCTGGATCTACGGTAAAGAACGGCACGAATGAGACTGGAGTTATGCTTTGGCTCATATTGTAAGGAAAAGCCAATCCAAAGCAGTCGAGGAAAATAAACAGAAGAATGCCAACTGCTGCCATTCATAAGTGTGGTGTTATGATGACACAAGGCAACACAAGAGAAAATATTGGCTCACCTGGGATTTGGGGTTTTCCAGAAGAATACAGGTTATGCACATGCACACAACATATGCAAACGACTAAAATAAATAAAGACATACTTATTTGAGAGTCAAACACGGTGTGGGCATCCTTTCTTTCCCTTTTTTAAATAATTCCTCACTATCGCCACATAAAGACTAGAGCAGAGTGTTCATTGGAGCATTTCTATTGCATCCCAGAATGCTTTTCATCTTTAAGTAGAGTCTGGTGCCTGTCTTGGGGGGTTGGGGGAGTGCTTTTCTGGTGTATGTGAGAATGCCTCTTTTCTTTTCTTTTCAGCTGCTGGTCTGTGGCTCTGTGGGCGATTTGACGCCAGACTTACAAATCCATCATGTTAATGAGGAAGGAATAAACAAAACAAGGAATATTGACAATGAAACAAATACACTGACAGAGTCAAATAACCGAGGTATTTGTTTTTAACTTCTTTAAGACTGAATGGGGAGGTGGGGTGAGTTTAAATTTGTCTGAAGCCACAGCAATTATGACTGCAGGTCACAGAGAAGAAAGGGAAGCTTCTGAAATGAATAAAGAGTACTATGGTGGCAGAGACAGCCATGGCTAACAATCCTTTTCTGGTAGGTTTGCAAAATGCCTTGGGTCAGGGAACAAGGGAGGGAAAGAGAGCAACAGTGGAGCAGTAGTGGAACAGAAAGACAAATAACAGTCAAAAACAGGAGAAATAGCATGATTAATAAATGCAAAAAAGGCTAAACGCAAAGGACAGAGAGGGGTGAAAGTAGCAGCATGTGCGTCAGCGTGTGGACTGAGTGAGAGTTGTTCACACAGACGGAGAATGGGCCAGTGGCTTGCTCAGCACACAAGCACACAGCTGCCCACTGACAGAATAGAGTTCTAATAGGGCCTTTTTTCTGCAACACAAAGACCTTGCAAATGTGTGCGTCTTAAGCACACACTGGAGTGCAGAGCAATCCCCTTTAAAAACCCACCGCCCTTAATTGCCTCCATATATTATGTTTCTAGTATGTCCAAAACAAGCCTACAGATGAACAATACCAGAGCTGTTGTTGAGCACAATTGCAATACACTAAGTACAAAAAGCGATTGCCAGGAACTGTGATGAAAATGTGTAAACTGCTTCCTTCGCAACGCGAGGAGTGTTTTCACTTTTTTTGGAAAAAGTCCTATGGATTGACTTGTTTCAATATGCCTGCTTAGCCAGTAGCAACATTTCCAAACGTGTTAGAAGTTAAATAAAACAGTCAAAGTAACATATAGAAGACAACAGATTGCTTTTGTTTTCTGGACCTTTGCGGACCTCTGGCACCAGGACAGATCACTTCCACCCTGCTCCTAGTCAGACATAATAATTCGCAAGAGCAAACAGCACATTTGCAGATTCACAAACTTGTTCACACCAAGCTGAAAGATTCCAGCAATTGTTTATTTTGGAAATCAAGGCATTGTGTAGTAATCAAAATCTTCCCCAACCTGGAAAAGTAGATAAGAAGTACTCAGAACAGGTTACATCTAAGTCAAACCCGCATTTGTGAGACACCTCTATCAGCATGCCAATAGTCACTAGAGTTGAGAGGTGATTAAATCTGCCCAAGCACTCTGCTTCACTTCCAATCTGAACTTCAGCTAACCTTTGCAATTGCGAAGACATTTCATTTTCTGCAAATATGCGTCCATTAACGTTTAGTTTACCAACCAACCTAGCCAGTCAAGGATGACCTCTTGCTTGTGTCCCTGTGAAAATTCCCAGATATTTCCAATTAATGTACCCTCATACCAAACCAGTTCTTCAGGGTATTGTGTTAATGGTGTCCACAAAGCTCAGCCAGCTGTGGTTAGCATCGGAAAGGGCAAAACATAAGTACCAAAACATAAGCGCCAACACTTCCTAACCCACAAAGGAAACAAAGATGACAAATAAGCAGTTTAGTGCTCTGCTGCCACTGTGCCCTATATTCAGAGTCCTCGTTTACAGTTTGAGCCTAAAACAAAACAGAGGCCTCATAGCTATGCCAGCGGATAACAAACCTAAATTATAATTGTTCTTATCAGCATCTTATCAGTTCTTATCATGTAGGTTTCAGTTTCATATATGCATAACATCATAGTCTTAGTTTATAATGCATTCATCTCTGTCACGTAGTCATAAGAACAGTGTATATTTTGGTTGAACTTCAAGGATGCAGTCTTATATATTAGCTGATAAAACAGAATTGAAATTGAGGAAGAACAAAGTGGCCAATAGTTTCGGGCTCCTCAACCTAAAAAAAAAAAAGTACCTACTCTGATGCTCAGGGGGAAAAAAAAGCACAAGATTTAGTAATTTCAGATTCCTCTCTGAAAAGAGAACAAAAACCTAAATGTGCGGTGGAGATTGGTGCGACTTGTGCAGCCAAGCCTTATGACTCAAAGCACTAAAGCTTCTCTTAACATCATCTCATGGGTTGTGGTGAGGAACTGTGTGTCAATGCTGCAAAGCAACCACACTGCCTCTCCACCTACAGGTACTGTGTAGTTTACAGCAGTCTCAGATTCACTGCATTGCCTGACAGATGAAGGGGGAGTTTGCAGCCTCAAAGAGCTTGCTGCCTGCGTGAAGCCCCTAAACCTCAAAACGGGTTATTATGCGGGGACATTTATAGCAGCACCAGGTCGGTCATGTAGATTATTTTATATACATATATTTATTTAGAAGCTCCATAGGAACTGAGTGCAGAACAATTAAGTTGCAGTCACCCAAAAAGAGTTTAACACGCCACATTGTTATTTTTTATTTTTATATGAACAAAAAAGGTTTATACTCTTTTAAGAAATTCATCCCCCAAAAAGCCATTTATATTTTCTTAAAGTACGTGTCCTTAAAGTAACCTAACAAGTTATATGGGGAAACCCAGCAAGATCAGAGTAAACTTCAGAGCAGTGAAAGAAACAAAGAAAAAGACGTTCAGTGCATACAATTTAACTAGCGTGCTACTACCTGGCTAGCAGAGGCTCTTTCGAAGTTAGGTCATCTTCAACAAACGGAAAGCGAAAAAGAAAAAGTTTATCGCAGTTGCAGCCGCCAGTTCAGCGTCCTCAGCGTAGGACCAAGCAAGACTGCAAGCAGCTGAGAGCTGAGCTTCTGCCTTCAGCATTGATTGTAACAATATCCGCGTACACATGCAGTTCAAGTCAGCGGGGGGAGAGACGAGCAACAAGTTAACCGGCTAGCAAACTAATACGGACACGGGGACACCGGGTTGTTGTGTAGTGTTCTCGTAAAGTTATAATTATTATCCAGCAACACTAAAAGTCTTTAATATGTCAACACACAAGGGGCGAAGTTTTATTCACCACTTGCACCCCCACCCTTTTCGAGTTGGTACGTTCCAGTGCCCTCGGGTATTTACAATACTCGTGGTCATTTTTTATTACTATGCAGCCCGTTTCATTGATGTTGAGTAGATAAATGAGTGTTGACGAGTCAAAATAAGCAAAGATAAACAACTCAACTAAAAGTTGCTCCCGGACCCATGCGTTTTGCCTAAAACAACGAGACGTGTCGTCACGTAATAACGTGAACCACGAGTAAATAAAGTTTATAATCGTTAATTAATGCCTTATTGCGCCCCAGTGTACCGGTGGTAGTCATTACTCAGTGCGAAAAGGTCTGAAATACTTGTTCGTCCACCTCTCGCCATGGAAAGTTCACCGTTACATGCTGAAGTAATTCAATCAATCCATAAAAATCCTATTAGGAGACCTTCAAACGTGTTTCCAGGGAGATGGAGTGAAAAAACATAAATATTTGAAGTATCACACTTGAGAAGTTGAAATGAAAGCATGGTATTCGTGCTGGTAGTGCAGCCAGCGGGTTATGGCACAGAGTCTAAAACCTTATAGGTTAACATTATGAATGGAATAAAAGTGTAGCTTGAGCCATGTGCCAACCCAAAGGATGTGAAAGCGCTGATGAGGGTAAATCTGCTGCAGACTACAGCTGAGTTCAAACCAGCAAGTTTCTTGTCTAATTTTCCTTCATGATTGGGTGGCTGGAAGTAAAATATTTTTAAAGATGAAGGATGAATTAGCCCCCCCTATTCATTTAAACTGGTGTTAAACTTTTCTGACTCATAAGAGCTTCTTAACAACTTTAAAAAAATAGACACAGAAAGATTAAATGTTGATAAAAGTAAAGGACAGCCTCTTTAGCTGAAGCTCAATGAAGCACATTTCTCTTCATGGGAAAATCTCTGTGAGAGCTTCAAATGTGGGCATAACATGCACATCCAGGCAGGATATCCAGAGCCTTGTAAATTTCCAGGCAGTAATTCTTGTAAAGCTTGCATGTGTTTACTCAACAGCATGCCTCAACATCGACAGCTCCCATTGGGCCACTGTCCCAGCCTGCAATTAGGATCCAGGGTTTGGCAGTTATTAATGATGCCATTGAGAAAGGAAATGGCAGACAAGCTTTCCTCCCACTGAAGCCGTGGCCTCTTGCTTATTCATTATGCTAGCACCTCTTAATCACAGTACCCAGGACCCCCAAGTGCCACTTGCTTCCAGTTTATCCAATTAGTTAGGGGCTTCTTTGCATGGTATGAAAGATGACTGTAATTAAGAACCTTGTTAGGCTGAACACTTGTTTTCTGAGTGTCAGGACTCATAACGGGGTCACTGCAAAGCAACTTTAAAGGTCAAAAGATGATTTATGGAATAAGGAAAAACACTGAGTACAAGCTACTGCAGAGATGACATAATGCATTTTGCCCATAAGCTTATGATCACTAATCAAATCAAACACTGACTTATTGTCTGGATGCCTTTCTGCTACAATCAGCTTTGACGAAGCTATATTTCCATTAAATATTTTCCACTGGATTAAATAATGTTGTAACAGATGGAAAGACTTTGGATGGACATGCCATATCAAACTAAATTAGTTAACCAACCGTTTCAATGAAAACCTCCTCTAATATAAACCTAACTGTGTATACATTGTGTGCCAACTTCGTTAACTCATTTAAGCAGTTAACATCATGCAATTCAGCACTTTTTAAAGTACAGACAAACATCAGTATTATTTGTTTGTGCATTTCTGATCATAAACTTTTAAAATAAATATTTCTAAATTGGTGTTTAGTTAATATGCATTTAGTAATGAGGCTGATTGGAAATGAAAGGAAGCAAGAAAAAAAGAGGTTTATTTTAAGAAAAAAAAAACATCCCACTCCGTTGATCAACTTTGTTTCATTACACAGTCAAAAAAAAGAGTTTTAAAGTGCAAAGATGTGACGATTTCCTGTGGTGATATCCTGTCTGACGTAAATCAATGCACTCTTTTGAAGATGAGCGCTGCTACACTGTTGCCCGTCTTGCCTCCAAATTGGAAAGTGGGTGTAGACAACTCCTGCACAAACTCAAATCCTGTGAAGCAACACAAAGAAAATGTGCAAGTTATGAAATGTACATTGCAAAAAAACTAGCAGATGGCCAGAATCTTTTATCATCTTCTGTGGTTTTGTTACTAAAAAAAAGGAGCAGAACTGAGTGAAGATCCATTGACCATCTGTGACGCTTCCTGGGGGGCTAGTGAAGACAGGCTGTCACTGTGAAAGATGAGATCTCAGAAAGTAGTGGGCCCTCCTCAGCCAAAGTGGACATTGCTCAACTATTAGGTGGAAATGACTTAGGACCAACTTAATTGATGACAGCCAATCACATTCAAAACATTAAAGAACACCCTCTTTTAATTGAGGAAAGCCACTTTGTGTTCTGCAGAGACTCCTTATTCAATCCTAAGGCCCTCTGGCCCCCTGCAGGCTCTCCAGAGTGACTACAATGAGGGAACAGATGACAGCTTATCTTACTGAAATTTTGACTTAACAGGCTCTTTTTGCCTGGAGCTTAACAACCTGCCAGGTAGCGATTGTGGAACTGTCTGTCTGTTAAATGAGAATGAGAGAAAAAAAAAAAAAGAAAAAAAAAAAAAGAGACGACTAAATTAAACCGCCGCACACCCAAATGATCAACATGTTTTGGCAAATGCTTTAACCCATTTACAACTCAGCAAGTGTGCCTGTAGAGTCCCTGAGAACCCTAAAAAACAAACAAACATAAAAACCCCATAGAAAATAGGCTACTCAAGAAAGCTGAACTTATCAATCCTTTAAGTAAAAACAACACCCCCCCCCCCCCAAACAAATGAATTTAAAGTATTCCCTTTCTCATTAAAAAAAGAAAACAAGAAAACAAAACAAAACAGCCAAGCAGATTTTTGTGTGATTTACTGCAGCAAATTCTTGATCCGGGTTAGGTCATTAGCAGGTCAAAGAAATAATTCACTCCCTTATCTTAAACAATGTTAGGACTCGCTCATTAAAAAAAGAACCCCATGACATTACTTGAAGTTAAAAGCTCCACTAAAGCCTTAGTAAAGTGTTTTAAATACATTTAGATATTCAATTAATATTTTTTCAACACAAAATACCAAAAGGTGCATATATAATTTTCCCAATTCTCCAAGACCAGTGCACTGGCCTTTTGCAACACCATATAAAAAAAATAAATAAATTTAAAAAAAAAAATCAGGAAGCATTTAAGTAATATCAAGGTAGACTCAAAACTGCCACAGGAATTAATTACCATAATCCTTGGCTGCATAATTAAATGCGTGATCAAAGGTCAGGTTTACTTAAAGTGTCTAATGGGCCTGATGTAACCCATTTGCTTCAAGGTTCAACGTAATTCACTCACAGATGCTCTTCTTCATACCTTAGCAGTAGCAAGTGGTTATTTGAGCTACTGTTGCCTTCTTGTTGGCTTGAAGCAGTCTAGCCATTCTCCTTTGACACCAACAAGCCAATTTTCTTCCAGGAGAACATCCACTCACTGGTTATTTTCTCTTTTTTTGGATTATTCTCATGAAATCCTAGAGATACCTGTGTGGGTAAATCCCAGCAGATCAGCAGTTTCTGAAATACTCACAGCAGCCCATCTAGCATCAACAACCATACCACATTCATAGTCGCCTAAAATCACCTTTCTTCTCCATTCTTTTTCTCCGTTAAATATAAGCAGGTCATCTGGATCATGTTAACATGTTAACATGGGTTGCTGCCATTTGACTGGCATTGATATCAGCATTTAACAACAATATGGCCAGTGAGCATGTACATATTTTTAAGGCGTTCAGGTCTTCATCATCCCGTCTTTGAAATTTCTGCCAACTCAAAACTGATGTGACATTTAATACCAATCCTCAGCCAGGATAACTCAGTGCACTCCAAACAGTAATGAATTTTTTTCTCACCTTCACTGAATCTGTCAAGTAGCTGCTCTTTTGTCCAATTACAGGAAGTGATGGCAAAGAATCCATTATCCTTCAGAACATCTTTTAGGGCTTGGACATACTGTCTTTTGCCCTCGTTGGTGTTGACTGGGTTTAAGCTTATTGCATCAAATGTTCCTTTGTCGATACAGACGTCAAAACCTTTTAACTCCTTCGGGCAACTTAAGAAGTCCATCTCCTAAAATAAAGACAAAGCGAGAAGGTAAAAATGTAGTGATCAACACTACAGAAATGTGTACAGTTACCTGCAGAAGAAATCTTTCAGCAGATCCCAAGATGAAGTGTGCTATACTTCAATGGTTTACTTTAAAACTAAATTCCAACTGTTGACATGACAGCACTTAATTTTGCTGAGGGTTCTGGCCCACCATACCACTAGTGAAAGGACTCCTTTATCTGGACAGATGGCTGAACACCAGATCTCTGGGGTGAGCTCTAGAGCTACCTACTCACGACACATATTAGATTTATGGAGGAGGATCAACAGAGATTCCCTGAGGACAGGTACAGCTATATACTGCTACAACTGACTTTAGTGCGAGTCTGTAAAATAGAAAAAAGTGGGAAGACGTTGTAGGAATGCGTGAAGGTGAAAGTGTCAAAGGAGCAGTAGACAGTGACTAATGGAAACTGCAAAGGGGTTCTGACATAGTTCTAAGAATGACCTCTGAGCGACAGGCACGTTCATACAACTTACGTTGGCAGTTGTGCAGAAATGACCCAGATGCCAACATACATATTTCTCTCTCACATACTGAGCCCTCCCCTGCACAGCTAAGGTCAATATTGACTTCAGTGGCAGCCTTTCTGCACAAGCAGAGCATGCAGCATCATAGG